AAATTAAGTATGGAAAGACTATAGAACATCTTAAAGATGAATTTAAGTTGGAGAAAGATGATTGTGATTATATCATATCAGGCTCTTGTCTAACTGAATTTTTTTTTTAATTCAGGGAAAATGTTGATCATTGGGCTTGATAATTACAGATTAAAAGTTAGCAAACCTCTACATATTAAATGTCCAGTTCCAAGCTGCGAATAGATAGCACCAAAACAGAAGAAAAGTACTGCCTTCTTAAAATTTTGCTAAATGATTTTTATGACCACTCTAGTTCAACATTAAATGTGTTTGCATAAAAGAATTTGTTTAAAAGTCTCTGTAATGATTAGTCTTTCAGAAGTGCAGGCCAGTGCAAGGAAGCCCCTTGAGTCTCTACTTTTAACCACAGTTGATCGCAGCTGGAAGAGAAGGGCCACCAATCATGCTCCTGAGAGAAACATGGGCCTGCGTTTGATCCAAACTTCTGCATGCGAAAAAGATATATTTAGTCAGTAGAGGGGGTGGACCTCAGGCAAGCTGGATCTGAGGCCTTTCTTTTACAACAGCATGTCCTTTATCCTCACAGACCCCACCTATTTCCCACTCACTTGGGTAACCTCTGGTCTGTGAACCATTATGTTTGTCAGAAACAATTCTATTTCTCTGCCTGATTTTCCTTTGCACAAAATGTCCAGACGAAGTTCTAACTTGTATGGGAATGATTTGCTCCGTCTTTGCTCTAAAGCTAAGAGCACTGGTCTCCGATGGGAGATTGGGGTGACTGCCAGCCAGGTGGGTTTCATGAACTATCATCTTTTTGGTCACTTCTCTCTCCACCAGTAATACACATAACCACCTCACCAAATGTATTGTGTAGCCAATGATTCACTTACTTTTACAAGATGATGCTCAAAACAGCAAGAGGCTCTATCTGGGAGGCACTTGGTGAAGGCTGTCGTGAGATCATTGGGTGGATCCATCTCACTGAGGGGCTTCCTCATTTTTGCAGACTCTCCAGTTTACCAAGTATGATGACCTTCTCCAAGATTTGGTCCCTCCCGATCATGTTTAAAGTACATGAAACAAAATCTTAGATCTGGTTATATTTCTTCCAAGAAAGATTTATTTCTTCTTCTCATAGTCTGGTAAATTCTCTATTATCTATCTATCTATCTATCTAATCTATCTATCATCATCTATCTATAATTTTACCATAATACAAATATGTCAACACATCTTCAGTCTTCTATTTTCATTGTTGAGTGTTTGCTTGCATAGGAGATAATTTAAAATACCTGGTTTGGACCAGGTGCATTTTTGTCTTCAAAGTGAAATTTGAGTTTTAGTCCTGAACAAACTATTTTGCAGTGTTTCTCCAATCTCAGTGTCACCTTTTCTTTCTGTAGTTCAATTTCCCAGATTATTCACTCAGCAGACAGTTTGAGATTAGAGAACATGAAATATGCTCAGAAAAAAATGTTTCCCTTCTTAGAACATTGATATAGAACAGCTATATTTTCTGGTCAATACAACACTTTCTTGCATCCTCAGTTGAGCCTGCATTTTCCCTCTCACTATCGGATTAGCACAATTGATCTTAATCATCAATGCAGTGTGTGGCTGTCTTAACTTTTCACTTTGATTAATTATCACAGAACTCATCAATAAAATGAAGGTCATTAATTTTTATCATATGATCCCAAAGATTCGGTGTTCAGCTGTTATGGATGGTCAATGGGTCAAAACCCCCAGCTGCTCTGTGATAGAAAGAAGAGCCAGATGCCATAAAGATTTCAGTCAGAGAAACCCTGAATGAGGTTGTTATGAATATAAATAGACTCAATCACAGTCCATAATGTTTTAAATTATCTTATAAATTATTATGATGATCAATTGAGAATATAAATGAAAATCCTCCCCAAAGTAGAATAAGCCCAATGTAAATTGTATTATTGCTAAAGTTAATGTTGCTATCATTATTTTTTGGTCAGAGCTGTCTAAAATAAATCTTTTGTGATCAGTGTAATAATTTCAGAGGGTGAGTTAGTTAATTGTGCCAGCCTGGCCGATAATCACATGTGGGTCTGGTTGAAAGGCGGAGGGATAAATGGGTGGTGAAGCCTCGCCTTTCTAGTTCTCGGGTCTCTTGTTTTGTGATGGTTGCATCGGGTGCAGCTGCCTTAGCAGTTCCCTGCTTCAGCTTGCAAGATGGATTTCCTACAAGACATCCCCAAGGAAAAGCCGCATGGATCTATCCCGATGCAGCCCTGGGTGCTGGAGCAGCCATGTGGAGACCCCTGCCAGTGCTGAGATGCTTATTCGTTCACTGACTCAGCTTTCCTCCTGCAGTCGGCATTATTGCCTCTGTTTTGTGAGGTGAAGGACTTTGTGGACTGGTGTTGGGTATGGGTTAATGTTGGACTTGTGGGCTTGGGCAGCATCAGGTTGGGATGTTTTCATGATGCACATTTTCTTTGCATAAAACTCTCTCTTACACGTGAGTTGCTGTGGATTTGTTTTTCCAAAGTACCTAGACTAATACAGGGGGAAAATGAAATTTCTCATTCCAGAGAATACTCCCACAATGTTTTCCTAAGTTCTATAAAGTAAAATAAGGTGACGTTTGTTATAATAAAACAATTTAATGTACTGACTTTAACTAACATTGTTCATATTTCCTGGATTTTTCTATGCCTAGTTAACCCTGGAGAAGTAGTGCCCCACATATGTAAGAATGGGGAATTTCGCTGCAGAAACGGCCACTGCATCCAGGCGCGCTGGAAGTGCGATGGCGACGACGACTGCCTGGATGGGAGTGACGAGGACGCGGCAAGCTGCTGTAGGTACTCCTTCAAGTGGTCTGAGAACGCTGTTTTCCTCCCTGAGTCTTGGATGGTGTGGATTATCGGAAAAATCGTGAAAAGTCAGGAAACAGCTATGATCAAAAGTGACCTCTGTTTATCTCCCAGTCATCGTTACTAAGAGAACTTAGATCGTCTCCTTTGTAAAATTTAAAGCAATCCTTTTGCACATCCTTCTCCAATCAACATAGGATCATTTGTGTTTCTCAGAAATTCATTCCGTTCCTGTAATATGCTGCCATTTCCCTGACTCAAAGATCAAATTTGATGTGAAAGAAAATCTACACCCCGCATATAGAATTATCACAAAATCATAAGTGCAGAAGATCATTGTAGCTCCTTGAGAATCTAAGACTTGAAAAAAAAAGGCCCTTGAAGGAGGAAATAAAAGTATTTCACACTTGTTGTTACTTAACTTCACAGGCTCAGTGTATGTAGAACATAAATATTGAACGCACAGTTAGAAATTAAGTAGTAAAAAAAATTAAGTAGTGAGTTTCTTCTCTTTGAGTAGTACTCAGACATTTATCATTTACTGTATTAAAAATATTTTCTTGTAAAAATAAGAAAACATTTTTATATAAATATAGAGAAAACACTTTGAATAGCACACTGTGTAAGATTTTGTGAATATATTTTATGAGAGCCACTAGTTAATGGTCTTGAAAAACTAAAATATTTGTATATGAAAAAATGTATAAGAGAAAAAACTTTAAGTTTTAGGATTAGACCTAAGCATATAACTTTCACTAATTGAATGAAAAGTAATCGTTTTCCATTACCATCACATTCTAGGTGAAATTGGATTAAGACTTAATTGATAGATTTTTTTAAATGAATCGTATAAAAGATTTAAATATACTATGTGAAGAATTGGTACAATAGGTCTGCACACACATATCATTTGGCCATATATCCTTTGGAATTAAAAAATTTTAAATTATGCTTTAAGAAACATTTTTCTGTTGTACATTTATAGACAAACAATGTAAAAGTAGCACCACCTCACTTGATTACCATAGGCCTTCGCTTCAGCATAATACAATTGTCATTGTCAATTCCATTATTATTCACTTGGAAATGAAGAAACCACAAGAGAAAAGTTTTGAGGTTAAAAGCTATTGTCCCAAATTAAGGCTATTGTCCAATATTTGGGGCTGGCAGGCGCATGTCATTTGATGGTCAAGGTGGTTTTGCTTTACCTACTTGCTTTATAAATGACAGGTCGTTATTTGATTGCCTCACTCATGTTTCATTTATGGCCGTAATGAGAGCACCGACTGAAAAGTGTTCTCATTTACGACCTGTGAGCCCAGACGTGCTTCCTCATGATGATCACGCATTAGCCTCCCAGCCTGTGCTTTCGTTTTGTTTGTTAGATTTTTCTGCCGCCTCACAAGGAGACTCATGTCCCCTATGGGTGATGTTGATACCTTCATGCTTTAGGTTAAGGAAAATGAGACAATTGAATATCAGAAGAATATAATGTTAAAAGAAATTAAAATATTCATGGTTTTGCTTCTAAGCAACAGTGAATGGTAACCAATTATCTTTTATCTTTATTTAGTGAATATTTTGCAAAGATATCCTAAAACAATGCACAAATAATAAAATAAGTCTTGTGAGTCTAGTTTGACAGCTGCCATGGGCAAGAATAGGACTAATTTATTCATCCAAAACTTATATGTCTATTATGTGCCAGGAATAAATGTAGGCTATGAGATAAATATGAGAGGAAAAAACTTGCTTTCAGTGGGCTTATCGTCTAATAGAATGCAATATACAAGTGTGGCAAAATATACAATGTATTTTAAAATGTGATATGCTAAAAGGCTGGAACTTACTATATTGAAAAATTAAGTTGGGAGGATGACAGCATATAACACAGTATATGTGAGGGGGGACTATATTTCTTGTGTTTATTGTGTTGAAATTTCAAGATAGTTTTTTTTTTCCGTAATATCCATCATTTCCACATACTCAGCCAAGAATGTTTCATGGATTTCACTGATGGGTTTGCTCTTATACTTGCACTTCATTTTCAATTTAGTAATAAGTCCTGTGTCTTTTACTTCCTAGATAATTGATTTTTGATCTCCTAAATGTTATAACCCAAATCAGACTCCTATTCCTTCACTGAAGGTTATTCTTCACTCTACTTCTACAAGGGTTTTCACAGAATGAAATCCAATCTTATTTTAATAATTCACAAATTATGTGGATAAGTTCTAAAATGAATTGTTTTGCATATGTCCCTTGTGCCTACTTTGAACCTTCACTGCCTATCCCATAGCCATTTACAAGTAGATATGAAAATATGCCTTTTTGTTTCTCTCTTGTGACAATGAATGTTTCCTTCCCGGTCTATGGAAATTGCCCGAGTTTGCATCACTTCCTAATAATATCAGAAAGCCTTTCCCCACATAGCTCAGAGTTGACTATTCATCTCCCGTATATCCTGTTCTCGTAGTTGACAAATAGTTTCTTATCTGGTACAACTGTTGAACTAATCGCTCCCTGAGGAGATGTCTTACGATTTGTTCAACTTTGTTGAACACAGTGGTTGACGCAGAGCTGAATGATGAACTCAATGACTGAATCCATAAAGACCATCTCTGCCTGTCTCCCAGCAGTCTGGACTCTTCAAGCATATTGCAAGGACTCTGAACAGCATTATATTCTTTCAGTGCCATGGCTATTATTATAACAACACATAAGTCATATCAGAGGATTATTTTCTGTTTTAAATATGCATTAGCTGCGACCTTGAATTCTGAAATCCTGTCTTCTATATTTCACAAAATATAGAATGCTGAACCACTAGAGTATGCTTGTGTTTCCTCATTTTTATCAATTCCCATTTGAATAATTGACAAAAATTGAAAAGTTCCTTGATCAAGCTTCACTGAAGTGGATGTGCATAAACTTGAGATTTTAAAATTTGGACCTTCTAATGTACTCTATGACTTTTACTGCCTGTGGGCCACACTATTCCCCGGAATGACTAGAAAACTTTTACCATGTTCAAATGCCAAAAAATATAAAGTTTGCCCCCCTATATTTCTACTATATTTGAATAAACACTTATTATAAAGTAATAAAAATACTTTATCACCAAAGCTACTTTAAAGCAATTATATATTCTAGAAAAATGACTGTAAACAAACACACAGATTTGCTATTCAACAGCATGATGAACCGACTATATTTCCAATTCTAAGTGAGACTAGCAACAGAATTCCTTTTTATTGCACCGATGTGCAAAAACTGAATAAAAGGAAAATTATAAAGCATGTTGAAGATCTGAAACAAATGCTGAAAAGAATGACAATTCAGTTAGGAATTTTGCCTCTAGAAATCAGGAAAAATAATCAAAGAAGGTTCGCATTAAGATGGCCCCCCGATGTGCTTAGATAGTGGAGGTTTAATGTTTGTCTGCTCACAGCTTCCCTCTGAGAGTGAGTCTCTGTTATGATTTCCATGGTTGCATGCTTATTTGCTTGCCTAAGAGTCAAAATTCTTGCTGATCATTTTCATTAGTGGAATTATTTAGGATCTCATATTTAGCCTTAATATCAACTCCAAGTCAAAAGTGATCCACTGGTTTTGTGTGTGTGTGTGTGTGTGTGTGTTTTGTTTGTTTGTTTTTTGCCTTTTTGTTTCTGCAATTTCCTTACAGTTTTAAGAAACTTTAGACCAAAGCAAAATATAATACAGTTGGGCTTGTTTAATATTTTAACAAATATGTAAGTGGATGTTTGGTTTTAAATAAAGGACTTTGGGTATGCATGATGAAATTGCTTTCATTTTTAATGTACACTTTTATGCTTACCATTAAAATTTTAAGTTAGTTGGAAATGGTTTTGACTTAAATTTTCAAATAGAATTGCCATTTGTTTTAAAGTTTGGAAAAACAAAGTTTGAGGATTTGTTGAATACAAAAACCAAATACACATGTATTTACTTTAATGTGAGATTGAATAACGTGATAATGTCTATTGAAGCATTATATTTTAACAAAGTCTAGGATATTTGGATTTTATCTAAACTATAATGAATAATGGAAACTATGGTGTTTATTGTACTCACTTGCCATAATTATTGTAACTTCCAAATCTGTCATTCAAAACAATCTCAATTTCATCTAATAAAAAATGACCAAGGTTTCTCTTCCCCCACCAGTCAATCATAGTTGCCCTGATGATCAATTTAAATGCCAGAATCACCGCTGCATCCCCAAGAGATGGCTTTGTGATGGAGCTAATGATTGTGGCAATAATGAAGATGAATCCCATCAAACGTGCTCAGGTAAGGGTTTGCTTGGACATGCAAACACATCGTCTCCAAATGTCACTATAAAAATGCAGGTCAGTTGTTTGAACAGTGTGGGATGTTCCTCATGCTGATGATCTGGTTATGGCATTGGCAAATGAATTCCAAGTTTGAAACCACAGAGGAGGGAATACAAATTATCTTTTAGTTAATCCTTGGGCATAACTCTTCTCTCCAAAGTAATTTGGCACTCCATCTAGCCATATGGCTTGACTGTTGACTGAACAAACAGCTTGGACAAGCCTTGCCCCTGCTAAATCTGCCTTGGCAATAAAGATGGAGGCATGTTAGTGCACTGTCATATAAGCCATCGAACAAGGAACTCTTTTTTGAGTTTCACCTTGAAAAAATAATTTATATGTTTTTTTTCTTATTTAGTCTGCTATAGAATACCTCTGAATAATTTTCTGTTCACAGCACATTATTTATGTGGATAGTTTTTGGATTTTTATAAAAATAAATCCCAAGACCTTTAAGTTTATTTATACATCCATATCATTTATCATTTTACAGTAAATCTTTAAGTCCCTAGTCAGATTCTCATTGACTTGAAATATACAACCTGTGGTACAGGTTGTAGCACAGCACCACAGAGGTCATTATTAGTCAGATAACTGTTGAAAAATATATTGGTAAATAGTAGCTTGGTGCTACTATTCTAATAATGAAGAAATATGTATGTTTTATGATTCATAGTTATTATCATTAAAATTAAATTTTAAATAAATTACTTAGAAGAACACTGTGTTAGTCTGGATAGACTAGAGAAACAAATCCACTGAAACTCATATGTATATAAGAAAGGGTAAGTGTCCATTAAGAAAGAATAGCAACCCAGTTCTGTCCAAGCCCTAAGTCCATCATTAGCCCATTTATCCAACGCCAATCTAAAAAGTCCTCCATCTAACAAAACACACACTATGATGCCGATTACAAAAGGAAAGCTGAATCAGTGAACCTGTAAACATCTCAGAGCTGGCAGGGGGCTCCACACAGCTGCTCCAGCACCCAGGGCTGCATCAGGGTAGGTCCACGCGGCTTCTCTTTGGGGATGTCTTGCAGGAAGTGAGCCTTGCCAGCTGAAGCAGGGAACTGGCTAAGGCAGCTGCACTCTGGTCCAACCATCACAAAGCAAAAGACCCAAGAACTGGAAAGGCAAGGCTCACTGAGCCATTTATCCCTCAATTAACCCCACATGTGTTTATGGGCCAGGTTGGCACAATAAACCTTAACTATCTCAAACATCAAAACCTATCAGCCATCATTCCAGTGTTCTCTCTGCAAAAAGCAATCCTTATTAAATAAAATCTTTACAACATATTTGAGAAAACTCTAAATATAATTTCTAGAGAGAACACGTTGCCGTTCAGAAGCCTAGTTTGTACTCTTGCTTTTACCACGTTTGTTGTTCAGATGCTTTGTATTCCCTAGGCCTCAGTTTACTCACAGATTCCTTTAAACTCTCTCAGAATACACGTTAACTAGGAATCATTTCCAAAGACATTCTCACCATGCGCAACACAATAATACCTTTTGTCTAACCATCATCTTATGTTTTGTATTTTTAAGTGATAAAAACCATGCACATAATTTAAATATATATTCTTATGATTTCTATGTGAAACATAAGTTATTTAGTAATCAAGGATTTTCTAGGATATCTAAGAACTTAATTTCATTCTTTATTCCTATCTTAAATTCCTCCCATTTTATAATAATGCACATGAGAGCAGATATACTTAAACTCACATCATTGATGAGTATAGTGGGATCTAAATTCATGAATATGTGGTATATTCAAAGCCATTCTTCTTTATACCAAACTATGCTATTTCACCACCAGTTGTCTACCAGGTTGTCACACAGCGGTGCCAGAAGAGGAGCATTTCAGGCCAGAACATTATTGCTACTGAATCAGTGCTGACTCATAGTGCCCTCCTGTGGGTTTCTGAGACTATAGCAGTTTATTGGAGTAGGAAGTCCAGTCTTTATCCCACAGAGCTGCTGATGTTTTTGAACTACCTACCATGTGGATCTTAGCCCAACTCGTAACCACTACACCACCTGGGAGGGTACTCAAAATATGATTGAGGCAGAGCTGCCTTCTCAAAATAGAGTTGGCTGCAATTAGGTGAATGGAGCAAAGCCTGTGAGAGTGAAGAATTGGGGAACTTCATTTGCTGATGGTGTACAACTTTAAATGAAAATAAACAGTTGCACAAAAGGAACATATCTATCAGTGTTCAAGGAAACTCAGTCAAGAGAACTATTATTGAAATGTGTACATGAGCACTAAAGCTGGTGATGCATAAATTGTGGAATTCTACCAGCGGCTTCGGTCAGAAATTAATCAAATATCCAATTAAGATGAATTGATCATTATTGGTGATTGGAATACAAGTGTTGGAAATAAAGATGAAGGAATAGTAGTTGGGAAATATGGTCTTCATAATAGAAAGAAGGCTGGAGATTATATGATAGAATTTTGCAAGACCAAGTTGTTCATAATAGCTTTTTTTCAACAACTCAAAAGGTGACTATACATATGCACTTCTCTAGAAGGAATATGCATAAACCAAACATGGCCAGGGGCTGACTGTGGAACAGACCACCAATTCCTCAGATGTAAGCTCAGGTCAAAGATGAAGAAAAGTAAAACAAGTCCATGAGAGGCAAAATGTGATCTTAACTCTATCCCATCTAAATTTCTAGACCATTTGGAAAACAGATTTGCTTCATTGAACACTAATGTCAAAAGACCTGATGAAATGTGGTAGGACATTTTTGCTTTCTTCATTCATGAATGAAGAAAGCAAGAAGTCATTAAAAAGGCTGGAAAGAAAAAAATCAAAGTGGATATCAGAAGAGACCCTGAAATGTTTTCTTAATCATGTGTAGCTAAAGCAAATGGAAGGAATGATGAAGTCAAAGAACCAAACAGAATATTTCAAAGGGCAGCTCAAACACACAGTTAAATATTATAATTAAATATGTAATGATTTAGAGTTAGAAAACTAAAATGGAAACACATGCTCAGCATATTTTAAACTAAAAACCAAAAATCAAGCCTCTAGAGCCAATATTGAAATATTTTGTGGGAAAAAAATACTGAGTGATTGACAGCACATCAAAAGAAGATACCCTAAACCAAAAAGAACGAGTCAAAATTTTCCTTTTCAAAAAGTAGCATTTGAGCCAGAACCAATGTTACTGAAGGAAGAACTTCAAGCTGTACTGAAAGCATAGCAAAAACATGGACCCAGGAATTGATGGTATAAGCACTGAAATGGTTCAACAAGTTGATGAAGCCCTGGAAGCATTCATTACCTAAGTCAGGTAAATTGGAAAATAGTATCTATGCTAGGGAAGAGGAAGGTGACTTGGCAGAGAGAGAAGCAGTTCCCAGAGTCTCTCACTCGCATACAAACTTCACACCCAGGAGGTGTCATTAAGCTACCACTTGATTGACAGGTTTGACTGTAGGCTAGTTGACATAAAATCATACAAATACCACAAAAGGTGACCCAATAAAAGGCTAAAATTATAGGAGAATATCATTAATATCACATGCAAGTAACATTTTTCTCAAGATAATCCAGTGGTTGCAACAGTACCTTGAACGGGGAGCTGCCAGGGCTTCATGCCAGATTCAGAAAAGACTTGGAATAAAGGTTTGCCATTGTTGATGGCAGAGAAATCTTGGCTGTAGAGTATACCAGAAAGATGTTTCCTTGTGTTTCATTGACTATACCAAAACATTGGACTATGTGGATCATGATAAAATATGGATAACCTTGAGAAGAATGGGAATTCCAGAACCCTTCTTTGTGGTCACTCAGACCTTGAACAAGAGGCAGTTGTGCAAACAGAACTGGGGAATGTCGCGTGGTTTAAAATCAGGAAATGTGTGCAATCAGGGTTGTGTCCTCTCACAATCATTAGCCAAAAGCGAAAGGTTACTTAGAGTACTACAGTGCACTCGATCCAACCCATTTTGTTGTACATAGGAGAGTTATGAGTTGGAACAGACTTGATGGCTTTACCAACACCAACAACCTTTTAAGTGAAGGACTTAAGTAGATTTTCAGGTAAGGTCAATTTAACGTTTCTCAATTTGGCCTAGCAATATCACTATAATTTACAATGAAGCATTTTTCCAAGCCAGGGCAATGCTTTAGGTTGTGGTCTCTATAGAAGGAAACCCAGTGACTCTTGTATGTGTATGTATATAGAAAGACATATAAATAAAATAACAAAATTGCTCACAGAGAAGTTATTGCTACTGCTAGTTGCCATTGAGTGTGTTCCAACTTATATTGAGCCTGCGTATAACAGGACAAGACATTGCCTGGTCCTGTGCCATCCTCACCATGTTCCTCTGCCTGAGCTTCTGAGTGAGGCCCCAGTGTCAATCGGGTTTGGTGAGGCCCTTCCTCTTTTTTCACCGCCCCTTTACTTTACCGAGCATGATGTCCTTCTCCAGGGACTGGTCTTTCCACACAGCATGTCCAAAGTCTGCAAAATGAATTCTCATAATTCTTGCCTCTAAGATGCACTCTTCCAAATCGGATCTGTTTGTCCTTCTGGCAGCTCAGGCACTTTCAGTATTGTTTGAAGCACGCATGGGCGTCTCCAGATGGAATCCACAGAAATCGAAGTAACTGCCTCGGTAGGAAGAGATGATTGAGCAATTCATTATTGAATTGCTAAAATGAAGTCAGGGGCCGACTCCCAAACAGGCCACCAAATGTTCATATTTACGATCAGGTAGACGCTGAAGAAAATGAAAACGAGTTCACAAGAGCCAAAATTCAACCTGAAATTTGAGACCATCTGAAGAACAGAGTTGGTTCATCAAACACCAAATAAAGACAGAAGTCTTGATGAGCTCTGGGATGACACAAGAAACCTCTTACATGAGAAATCAGAAAACAAACAAACAAAATGAACCAGTCATTAGAGAAAGTTTCCAAAAC